GAGTTCGCTCAGCGAATCGCATTGCTGCTAGCTCAACCGAAGATTCCCACGCTTGAGGATGTTGTCTCTGCTATGATCCAGGAGGAGACTCGCATTCGGCTGCAGGCAGGGACAGGTGGACTTCCTGTGGTGAAGTCAGCAATGGCAGCCTCTAGCAACACTGGATCTAGGGGAGAGACTCGACAGTGCTACAACTGCGGCACGGTGGGTCATCTAAGGCATGCTTGCACCAAGCCACCCAAGGAAGGAGATTTGGGTGGACATGGACAGTTCGGAGGTCGTGGTCGTGACCGTGGGGATCGACGAGGTGGAAGAGGAGCAGGGAATCGGGCGAATCTGATGGTAGCAGAGGAAGAGGAAGCAACTGAGATGGTCTTTACTGAGGAGGACCATATGCTCCTGGAGATTCTTCGGAAGAAGCAGAGAGTAGCAGGAGATGGAGATAGAAGAAGTGGAACTGAGGAGACATCCAAAGGCAACTCTGCTACTTATGCTCATCCGACCAAAGGTACGGATGAGATACATGCTCTTGCTTCTATGTCTCCCAATAGACCATCAGAATGGATTATCGACTCCGGTGCATGTCGACATGTGACGGGCAACGCTAGTGAGTTCTCGTCATACACTCACCTAGCATCAGCAGATAGCATCCAAACAGCTGATGGTACATTTCAGCCTGTGGTTGGTAAGGGTACTGTTAATTGTACAGGTTCTGTAACTCTGTCCAATGTTTTGCATGCTCCTTCCTTTCCAGTAAATCTTTTGTCCATTAGTGCTATTATCCTCCAACTAAAATGTATCGTTTCTTTTGACATTCCTAAGGTGATCTTTCAGGAGAAAGGGACAGGACGGAGACTTGGGACTGGCACGTGGAGTAATGGACTGTGGTACTTGGATCGTGAGGGGCTGGACTCAGCTTTGGTGTCAATGGTAGAGAGAGCAGGAGTAGGATTTGAGATGAGTGTCGAGAGTGTGTTGATGCTTCATCACCAGCGCTTGGGACACTCATCCTTTGGTATTTTAAGTAGGTTGTATCCATCTTTGTTTGAGAAAGCAAATAAAGAGAAACTTGTGTGCGATGCATGTAAGTTGGGAAAGCTTACTAGAAGCTCTTATGTTAGTTCTGATCATAGGAGTTCTCATGCATTTGATCTGATACATTCAAATGTTTGGGGACCTTGTTCCACAAGTTCTATGAACGGATACAAGTATTTTGTTACCTTCATTGATTGCTTCTCTCGCGTTACTTGGTTATACCTGATGAAAAATAAGAGTGAAGTGTTTGGTTGCTTCCAAAACTTTCATAGGTATGTTCAGACTCAATATGGAGCAGTGGTGAAGGTATTAAGATCTGATAATGGGACAGAGTATACCAACAGAACGTTTGGAGAATACTTATCATCTCAGGGAATACAACACCAGACTACATGTCCATACACACCAGCTCAGAATGGGGTAGCAGAAAGGAAGAACAGACATCTTTTAGAGGTTGCTAGAAGTATGATGATCTCCATGAATGTCCCAGAAACATTGTGGGGGCAAGCAGTGTTGACTGCAGCGGCGCTGATCAACAGAATGCCCTCGAGAGTACTGGATTGGAAGTCTCCGTGTGAGACATTGAAAGGAGATAATGGTGGGATTCTTCCACTGAAGGTATTTGGCTGTGTGTGTTTTGTGAAGGATAACAGACCATCCGTCGGGAAGCTTGCCCCTAGAGCGGTGAAGTGTATTTTTGTGGGATATTCTGCTACTCAAAAGGGATATGTTTGCTGGAGCCCGGTGGAGAAAAGGCTGTTCGTGAGCATGGATGTGTACTTTCGTGAATTTGAGCCATATTACACACAGAAGGTACCATCATCCATTGGTGACTCGCCTAATACTGGAAGTATGAGGCGAGAATGGGAGAATGGTGAGAGGCAGATGAATAATGTAGAGAATAATGTGGAGAAATCGATTTCTCTAACGATTCCTTGGGAAGGAGTATTGGTTGAGGAGGAGCAGGAGAATAAAGAAGAAGAGAATAATGAGACAAGAGGTGTTAGGCCCACGGCTCAGGGGGAGCTACTTCACTATAGTAGGAAGGGGAAGCAAATTACAGAAACAGTACCTACAGTACCACTAGTGTCAACAGTACCTACAGCGCCACTAGTGTCAGATCCCTTATCAACGCCTGTCCCGACTCCTGAGACACCTACACCACAATCAGATTCCTCCCAAGGTGATATCATTCCTCTCCTTACTCCTCCCACACCAATGTCAGTACGGAGGACTACTCGCAGCAATGCGGGACATCCTCCCGATAGATATGGTTAGGATCTTGCCCAGTTTGTATCATATTCTAATATCCACCCTGCACATGGAGCATTCATTGCATCATTGGACTCTGTTACTGTACCTAACAATTGGCAGGTTGCTAAGAAGGACCCAAAGTAAAAAGTAGCTATGCATGAGGAACTAGGAGCTCTTGAGAAGAACCGTACTTGGGAGCTAGTAAAACTACCAAAAGGGAAGAGAACAGTTGGATGTAAGTGGGTCTTCACTGTAAAGCAGAATCCAGACGGACAGGTTGAGCGCTACAAAGCTCGTCTGGTGGCAAAAGGATATAGTCAGACATATGGCATCGACTATGATGAGACTTTTGCACCGGTGGCGAAGATGAGCACTGTTCGGACCTTGATCTCTCTGGTAGTAAATGGTGAATGGAAGCTACACCAATTAGATGTGAAGAATGCATTTCTTCATGGAGATCTGGTGGAAGAAGTATACATGGAAATTCCGCCAGGATTCGATACAGATCAGACAGTGGGCAAGGTCTGCAAATTGAAGAAGTCTCTATATGGCCTGAAGCAATCTCCCCGTGCTTGGTTCGACAGATTTAGGCGGGCTATGATAGGTATGGAATACCGGCAGATTAACGCCGATCATACCGTGTTTTTTCAACGAAATAAAGGTCACATCACCATGCTTGCAGTATATGTGGATGATATGATTATTACAGGGGATGATGAGAAGGAGATTGCCCAACTCAAAGTGAGACTGGGTAAAGAATTCGAGGTGAAAGATCTTGGCTTGCTTCGATACTTTCTTGGAATAGAGATAGCTCAAGGAGCAGAAGGGATCATCCTATCCCAGAGATCTTCTCAAAGAGACAGGGATGTTAGGGTGTAAACCTGCAACTACACCGATCGACCAGAAGTTCAAGCTGGGTGCTGAAGCTGGAGAACCAGTTGATCGTGACAGATACCAAAGGCTAGTGGGCAGGTTGATCTATCTGAGTCACACACGTCCCGATATCTCTTTTGCAGTGAGCGTGGTGAGCCGCTACATGCATGATCCAAAGAAGGGTCATATGGACGCTGTGTACCAGATTCTGAGATATTTGAAGAGTGCCCCCGGAAAAGGGTTGATATTCAAAAAGAATGGACATGTGAGCATTGATGGTTACTGCGACTCTGATTGGGCTAGTTGTGCTGATGACAGGAGATCCACCTCAGGATATTGTATCTTTATAGGAGGCAACTTGGTCTCTTGGAAGAGCAAGAAGCAGTCGGTGGTGGCGAGATCAACAGCTGAAGCAGAATATAGAGCTATGGCCTTAGGAATTGCGGAGTTGTTGTGGTTGAAGAGTATGATGGTGGAGCTGAAGATGGATCAAGGAGCAAAGATGAAACTGTGGTGTGATAACAAGTCAGCCATCAGTATTGCCAATAACCCAGTGCAGCATGATAGAACCAAACACATCGAGATCGATATGTTCTTCATCAAAGAGAAGTTGGACAGTGGACTACTGGAATTAAGTCATGTTTCAACTAAAGACCAGGCACTAAGGGACTTAGCTTAGTAGATATGATTAGAGGATGTGACAAGATGGGCTTAGTGGATATCTTTCGCCCATCTTGAGGAGGAGTGTTGACATATTAGTATAGTTAAGGGGCTTATATGTAAGATGTGTTTTGTAGGGCTTATATAAGCCCATGTTATCTTATCAATGAGATTAGGGTTTCTATTCCAATAGGCAGGGACTTTAAGAATTCCTACTCCATTTTTGAACTTAGCTTCAGAATCCTTATCTTTGGACTTTATATCATATTAGAAAACTAATCTATTCAAAAGTCTGACCTTAGGGCTTTGGTTTTAGTTTGTTAGGATGTTGGTTTTAGTTTCCATGATTAGTTTCTTTGATTGGCAAGTTTTGACAGTTATTTCTGCAAATAATTTTGATTGTGTAGTATGTGATGACCTGCATTGTTGCTGAACAAATTATAGCAAGAGAAAGTTTATTTGTCTGAATATTGCAAATTCTGCAGTAACGTGTACCCTATAATCGCAAATGTTGGGGTTGTTAGGGGAAAGTGAGTATTCTGGTTAATTTCCCACTTCCAAGTGTTTTCGTTAGGATGAAGCATTTGAAATGTTATAGAATGAGAGCTTTTATGGTGTAGTAGACTTCCAGAAGATATTAATTTTTTATGTATCATGCTTTTCCTTGATTAGGGAATCAGAATATTTGGAGTTTTGGCTGTTATTCTTCCCAGAGAATATTTAGTATGCATCGTTTGTCATACCATGCATGTTAAGCATACATCTGATTGTTGCCTCAATTAAACCTCACACATCTGTTATCTAGTGTTGGATTGTGTCTTAACTCATTTTAGTTGTAACCAGGACATATCTAATCTGCTTGTATCAGTAAACTCATATCATATTATGGCAAGGTCACACCATCACATACAGCTGCTAATCTTTCTGCTTAATGCCTGCTCCATTTTTGAACCTGGGCTCAGAATATTAGCTTGGAAGTTTATATCATATATGATACTAGAAAACTAATTTACCCAAGAGTCTAACCTTAGTGGTTATTGGCTAAATAAACTGCATTCATTTGTATACAGAACGATTAAAATCAGTCCTATTTCTGAGAATTAAATTCATCAGGTTCTCTAAGTACTAATGTTTCATTATGATTGTTATGACCTTTTACCGCTTATTCTATATCATAGGTTTTCTTCGGGAATTTTCCATAAATTGCATGAAGAAGTGATGGCTACAGCCAGTAGAGCAAATGTACTGGCTCTTCGAGTTCAACAGGTAGAAGCAGAGATTCCATCAGTTGAGAAGTCCCTTCTCTGTCAGAATAGTGAAACTCATTATTTTCACAACATGGGTTAGTATGTACAAAACATTTCCTTTTTTGTTTCTTTAAGTTATGTAAATGCAATGACTCCTTTGTTCTTTAATTATATGAGAAAGAATCATACCATGCATCTGAATCATCATTGAAGTTTCCCTCTTAGTTATGTTCAGCAATTTGCGAACATTTTCCAGCTTGAGGAATTTTTTAAAGCTTCTGATTGTAGCTTGAGGAATTTTCTCAAGGGCCTATATTGAAAGATGAAGAAAAAACTATATTGAAAGATTTGCGAACATTTCCAAGTGCCTATATTGAAAGATAAACAAAACCCTACAATTCTTCGAACTTAAGCTTAAGGAATTTTTGAGGTAGCTTGTAATGATAAGAGTGTAAACTGCAATAATATTCATAGATTTTCCTATCCACCAACAGAATTTCTAGGCTTTATAACAAAGCTACTTTCTTGAGTAGGGCTGCTCCAGTCAAGAACTTTGGACTGAGTAGTTTGTGACATTATTGTACATGGAAAACCCTAAACTAGTTGGACAAGGATTAAAAGATAAATCATTCTGTGTTTAAATAGAGACTCTCTCTCCCTTCAAGGAAATTCACTATGAATCTGACAACTCCCTTTGCATCCCTGTACGTTTTCACTGTTATGGTTAGTGAGGGATATTGCATATCATAGTCATTTACAAAATTTTGAAATATAGAGGTAGCTCAACAATAACTTTGGTACTTTTAGTTTATACCTTGTCGATCTCTCCTCAAAATTAATGTCAGTTCAAATGTTGCATAAATAAGCAGGCCTAAAGGCGCATAAGTTTTCTTTGATATTTAACAACTGCTCTTCCAGGAGCAACCTTAAATACACGAGTGTCAAGTTGGTTTATTCTTTTATGGGTTTTCCTGGTATTGGTATCCCAAAGATGTGCTATCCGAAATAGGTCCTTCAAAAGATGATATTATAAAATAAGTTCGCAATTTGTCTAAGTTACACAAACTATATCTTTTTAGTTTTTAGTTAAAATATATTGTTTTAACTCAAAATTTCTTATTGTCATCTTGTTACTCTCGTGATGTCCTTATCTTTGTCTTCTACATGGGAGACTTCGGCACCTCTGCTGCCCCCGATTGATTCTGCTGAGAAGCATTATCACCTTTTCCAAATACCTAACTGGACCAATATTGTGTAATCTAAACAAATTGAGATATATTTAATAATATTTCATCTTTCCTGGACCTATTTCAAATTACGAATATTTTTGGGGATTGATACCAGAAAAACCTTTTTCTTATTCATCACGTATCACTATCAGATACATTCTTAGTATAAACTTCCACCTTTTGTTAACCACTTAGTCAATTATTTTGATGTCACTGTTTGGCAGGCACTAACTGGCACTCGAAGCTTCAGCTGAACCATAATGTAATAAGTGGAGAAGGCTTACCTCAGTTTATGATGGATTCTTATGAAGAATGTCGTGGCACACCAGATTTATCCGTGCTGGATAAGTATAATGTTTGCACCAGAATAATATTTACTCCGAATCATTTACACATATTTATGAAATCAATATTTTCTCCTCTTCAGGTATGATGTTTCTGGTGCTGGGGCATGTTTAAAGAGATACTCAGACCCATCATTTTTCAAAGTTGGATTAGCTTCCTCAGGCATTGTGGAATCACAAGTTGAGAAAGAAAAAGTAATGCATGAAAGCAAGGTAAGGAATTTAAAATATAGATGCATGAAATAAAATGGCTAATATTACAGTAGCATCACAGTGAAGCATGCTCCCTATTCATTTTTTCTTGTTACTCCCTGTCAAAAGTTTATAGGACAGAGGTCAAAACTACTTTCAGGAACTTAATTACGGTTTGGAGGTCCGTCGATCACTCATGCCACAAAGAAACATGCATACTTTGACCGAAAGAGACAATTAATACAAACTTCTTACTTTATTTTGAGCTTTAATGTTGTTTTTTCATGTTATACTCAGTTAGTCCATCGTTTATTATAAATTTCTTAACTTACAGCAGCTTTGGATTATCCATTATTACTATGTTTTGTTTTTTACTTAGGGTAGGATATTCAAGACTAATCAGACAGGCTTTTTTCCCCCTTTTCTTGGTTAGAAGAAGAAAAAGTTTTGGAGGAACGGTGATGCCCCTGCAATTTTTTCAACACCAAAAATCAACTCCAAGTAAGATATTTGCCAAGCTGAAACAAATTTGATGCAAAAGCTTTATGTTAATCAGCTCCTTTCAACATAATTACGTAAATGTTTACTTGCAGATTGCAGTTCATGACATCTGACCAAGCTTCTGAAGAATTTCCAGGCACGCATGTGAAATTAAAATCTAGAGACTTGAATGGGTCAGATCCCACAACTAGTTACACGGAGTGCCTCCATCAAGTTCTTTTACCTAAGGAGAATTGTCAATCTAACAATTCAAATTGCTGTTCTCACATAAAGATGGAATCAATTGGTTCAAGTGAATCCATTTCTGATGTAAATGGAGTTCCCTTTGATCCTTCTGCTGAAATAGGAAAATGCCCAAACCAATATCCCATATTTGAAGACACATGTCAAATGGTGAAGAAAAGAGTGCCTGAACATGAAGAAAGCACAGAAGGTAGTGAAGATGAATTAAATGCTAGTTCAGGTTTTCAGGAGATGGATCAGAAGGAGCTTTCATCTGATAATGATTGGAGAACAGGAGGCAGCTCTGGGGGCTATAACTCTGATGACATTGCTAGTGGTGTTGAAAATTACAAGGATGCCCGGAATACCATGGAGTCCGACGTTGAATCAGATTATGAAAACAATGCAAAAGCAATTAATTTCCGCACCTATGATGAACATGAGTTAAAAGCTCCAGATTCTAGGCTAGATTTTGATGAAATTTTTAACTCAGTGGAGTCAGATTCAGAGAAGCTTATCAAGAACAGGGTTGCTCTTGATTTACCTTCTAACCAAGATATATACCTAGATGAGACTGATGACAAAACTCCGGCAGGATTGAGTAACCTTGAGGCTAAGTTAGATTCTTCAGGGAATTTGCTTTCTAGTGGAGAACACAGTGCCAAGGAAACTCTAATTAGTGCCATATCTGGGCACAGAGAAGAATTTCTTAATTGTTCAGTTATGGGTTCAACTTCCTCTGCTAAGCATTCATCTTCTAACGGAGATCCTGATAGCACCTCATCTGCTACTAGCAATATGGATGAGATATCCTCAAGTCCTTATGGTAGAAAAGATGGTGGAAGGCTTGAAGTTGAAATTTCTACCAGTTTGATCGAAGGTTCATCACCTCCATCAAACGTCCTCATGGGAACTTCACAGGATTGCGCAAAACAAGTTGTAGAAGTTTCTCAAGATGAGATCACTACACAGCTAGGACATTCCTCTTCCTCCAGCAGAAGTCCTAATTCAAAGCAGAGACACAACTCAGTTAAAGAATTTAGAAACCTCGGTACATCTCAGGATGACATAGGGTCTCGAAGAGTGGAAATGACTCTTGAAAGTACCAATTTGCAGCCTTTATGTGATGAAGAGTCTCAAGAACCCTACAATACAGGCTCATTAAATTCATGTCCTTGGAAGGAAGAAATTCTTGATAACACGCAACAGTCATCTAAGGTGTCCGATTTCTCTAAAGATGCAGTTCACGCTGAGGCAGTTGCCTCATTCGAACAATCAGCAGTCCAGAATTCTATTGAATCTGACTGTTATAATCAAATTTCTTGCTCAGGTATAGATCAGGTATGCACTCCACAAATACTCCTTTCTTCACTTCCAGAAGAAACTCATCACATGTCTTCTAACTTTGTGCTTTGCATTCAGGATCATCTGGACCCTTTTGATGCTAATTTATCCAATGGCCACACACCTCCATCTGGGTTTGCCCAAATGGATTTGCATCCAAATAATATAGAAGAGGACTGTATAAATCTATCTGTAACTGACAAAGGTTTTGATCCTGAGACATCCTCTTGCTATCATCAAGAGAGTGCAAAAGAAAAGGAAACCCTTCGGCTACAATCTGGAAGTGTGCCCAAAATTATATCTTTCGAGCGATACCTTTCTATGAAAAACAACGGAAATGAAACCAATCTCCTAGATACCGCCGGGGAAGTATCAGATTCAGTGACTGAGCCAGAGTCTTATGACACTGTCAATAATGTCACTTTTGCGGAGTTTTTGAAGCTTGCCCAGATGGACTGGCTTCTAAATATTGAAAAAGAGGGTTCTGTAGATCCTCTACAGAGCGGAAAACGTTTTGATCGACAAGCGCCCTTGCAGATGACTCGGAATGCAAAAGAAGACTTGTTTCTGTCTTCTCATTTGGTTACAAAGAAGGCAAATTCATTCGAAGAAACCTCTGACATGCAAATTGAAAGTGAATCTAACATGACATCGTTACAACATCCAAGTGGGAGTGAATCAATTATAGATAGTTCTGTTCAAGAAACTATGGAAGAATTACCGCCAATGCCTCCACTCCCCCCCCTGGAATGGAGAATGAGTAAGCTTCAAATGGGACATCCAACTTCACATATTAAAATTGCTCAATCCTATATAGGACAAAATCAGTTCACAGCTCTAACTACAGATGAGAAGCCTTCATATGATTCATTAACAGCGAGAGGTGCAACTGTTCAAAAATCAAGTCTATTAAGTCCATTTTTATCATTAGAAGACAACTCCGAGCACTGTTTGTCAGTGCAAGTCCCGCCTTTGGAGAATGAGACCTTTCATCTTGATCAGCTTCCATCAAAATTGAAGAGGCCTCAGCATTGTCCACCAAGTTTAGAAATGGAGACAGAAAAGCCAACCAGCACGTTCTTCTTAGGTTCAACTTCAGAAAGTGAATCTCATCAATGTGAGGACAAATTTCCTGGAGCTATAGAGGAAGACTATGCTCTCAATCAAGATAGTCTTACTATACAAATGTTGAATGGTGAGAAGCCAAAGAAAATTTCTTTGCTTCAGCGGACTAGAGATCCCTTGATTGAAGATGTTGCTTCTCATGACAAAAGCACGGTATTTAAAACAAAGCTCAATGATTGATTAATAAAATTATGCCATCTTTATTTTTATTTTATTATTTATTATTTATTGTTATTATTATTTTGGTGCGAGGAACCTTGGCTGAGTACCAGCCAAGTAAATCCTAGGACCAAGGCCATCTTTCGCGGTCCAGGCCCCGGTGAATAACATAAGTACCGTAATGCCTAATGAAACTAGGGATAGACATGTCATAGTCACAGTTTGACCATTGGCCTTTTGAGCAAAGGTCCCAAGCCCTGACCACCAGCCCACTTGTGGGGGGTTTATGCCATCTTTATAATACCTATTTTTTTTTTAAAAAAAATCTTTAACTATATTTTTTGCATGTGCAGCTGAGAAAGGTAACTGACCTGCTTCAGCCTTCAACTCAGTCAAAGACAGAAGAAAGCATCACATTATTAGAGCAAATTAGAAACAAGGTGAGTTTCTCTCTTGCTATGGAAGACCTTGCGTCAAAGTAGAAGTCATCAATTCATAATTAAAAAAATATTGTTTCTTGTCTCAGTCCCAAAATTTGAAGGCAGCTGGAAATGCTAAACCAAATCTGAGAGGTCCTCCAACAAATCCAAAAATTGCTGCCATTTTAGAGAAGGCAAATACTATTCGCAAGGTTGGTCCTTCGATTAGTCTGCAAAAGAACCATAGCTTTATTTTCTACCTTATTCCTGTTCCCTTCATTCTGGTTTTATCTCGATACAGGCATGTGTAGGAAGTGATGATGAAGACGAAGATGGGCATGATTGGAGTGATTCTTAATAATGGTATTATACTTGAAATTTTGTAATTTTCGTAGCCAAGGTATCAGTCATGGACTTCTACATTTAGGAGTAGCATATGGTCATTTTTCCTTATAGATGTACAATTTGTTTCTTTCTACTTACTCTCCTAGTTTCGCCTTCGAAGTCTGCTGTATGCTGAGTTATAGGTTTTGGAGGACAGCATAATAATTTTACCTTTGTAATATGAAATAAACCTTCGTATTGAGTTGTAAACGTTCTGGGATGTATATATGGAACATGAGAAACCTTGAAATGCTAAAGATCTTGTAGCCTCTATGTTTTATTTGGTTTTCGGAGGTTTTGATGTGATTAACCTCTCATGGTAAGTGGCAAAACTATCATATATAACTCAATGACTCCAAAAAAAAAAAATCCCAGTTTATTGTTTCTCAGAGCATTTCCAATGGTATACTCTATGTTTAAAGGGTTTGAAAAGAATATTCTTCAAGATTCCTCAAATATAAAGGGTTTGCAAAAGTTGTGCTCCAATGGTGCCCTCTATATTTATATTAATCAATCTATCATTAACAAACTAATTATTTAAATAAAATAAGTAAAACTTGACATTTTTTACAAAAATTATACCTTTAGAACCATCTCGCCGAAACCTTTTAAATGAGATTAATATTGAATATTTTTAGAATCATTTTTAAATTAGTTTATTTTAATATAATAAAATAAAAATATTTATTAATAAAATAAATACTTGGGGATCTATATAACTCGCCCCAAAGGAACTATATTCAGAAATGCAGAAATTACATTATATAAGTAAAATACGGTAACAACAATCTAAAATTCTGGTAGGTCATTTCCATAGCTACCGGTGCCATACTAATACACTGACGGACCCCAATATCCAGTTCCTCCTGAAACATGAGTTGAACTATCAAATTGAAAATCACCGCTATTTTTGCTAAAGTTTTTTCCTCTCAAAACTTTAGGGAATGCACTCATTAAACATTTATGGCAGAGACAAGGTAATGGAATAATGTAATTTTTTTTAAGCTTGATGTATTTTAAATTCTCTGTACTTTAACATTTCATAATGATATATTTGAAATTAATATTAAAAGTATTAAATATCAGTCTCATTTTGAAGGTTTCGGCAAGACAATTTCAATGATATAATTTTTATTTAAAATAGACGAGTAAATTTAAAATTATATTAAGTTAAATAATTAGTTTAATTATATTCAATGATACAATTGGTATTTATGAAAAGTTATAAATGAGATGGGAGGACAAAATTGGAATTAAAATATATGAATAGTGTTTTAGATGGATCCCTCCATATGAGCCCAAACCCTTCAAATATGGAGGGTTACTGTAGCACCCTTTTAATATAGAGGGTGCTACAGTTCCCCCATTGGAGCCAATGGTACGCTATTTTTAGATGAATGACATGTCATTGGAGATGTTCTCAGTGACATTATGCTTGTTGAGGGACACTTTGAGTTGTTGCATATAACCAAATTGTTTAAATCAGATTTTATGTGATAGATTTCTCTCGCTTCAACAAACACGAAAATTTTTGAGTTATTTTATTTCTCACAAGCTGGTTCATTCTTCAACCTTGTCCAAAGACAGTGGAAAACAGAACACTAGTATAGCGGGTAAGAAATAAAGCTGCATTCTACAGTAATAAATCTTTGCTCAGCAGTAAAACTCATCAATTCTCTCTTTTCCTTGTAGCAATCCTAAGTTGCTAGTGGCACTGATTTAAACTTGAAGTCTTCAGAGAAGCCATTGTGGAGGCAGCAATAGTTATCTAATCTAATCTAATACTATTATAAAAGTGTGTTGGAATGTTCTTTCAAAAATACCCTTTAAAACACATACATGCAAACATAAAACACATGCATCCATACATAAATCATACATCATACATACATAACCCCCACTTAAATGCATTATTATTCATAACACCTAAAATAATTTTACCATGACTAAGTTATTTATATTTTATAACCTCCCATTAACATTTTAGTCTCTTATAATTCTCACTAATTATCACTATCATAATTTAAAAAACGTTACAATCATTCATCTTCTTACTAAACCACTATAAATCATAACAAATCTCTTACAAAAATGAATACATCATATGCAACCCTCATCATCTCCATTGCACCTCCTCAAATCCTTGAACGTCTCTTTGTCCCGATTTTGCCTATTTGGATTTTATTCTCTGCACAACCAATCACTACTTACTATCTCTTATTATAACATGATGAGATTAGCATGATTTATAGTGAAAGGTTCTTTCTCTATCTTTAAAAAGAATGTTTCAACTGTTATTTTACCATTAGAATTTCTCTTTGCTTGATTTGGCTTATTATAATTTATGTCTTCATTGGTCAATCAATATTTTTGAAGTTTGTATTTAATTTTTGTTTTGAGAACCATAAAACCTAATCAAGTATGAAATTCATGATTTAACAAAATATGTTTTACTTAAAATAATTTATTTAAATTAATAAAATACATAATTTATTTTGAAGTTATAGTTGTAATGTGCTATCAAAACTTAAGATGATGCAAATGGGTAAAAAGAGTTGGACATAATAATAATAATAATGTCTCACTATAACCTCTTCATATTCATAATCTCTCCATTAATTACCTATAAATTTTTTATTTAATCTCTCACTCTTAACCTATCCTAATCTTTAATTTCATCCATTAATCTCCATCACTAACAATAATGAAACCCCACCCCAACAAACACTATCCTTTAATTTCAGCAGAAACTAAATATACTTAATTTTTATAACATCCCAATAACAAATTAATCTTCTACTCTCTCTTTCTTAATTCTCACTAATGATCACTACCATAATCATAGAGAATGTTTCAACTGTTTATTTTTATACTAGCCACTATAAATCACAACTAATTTGTTTAAAATTTTCTATGAATTCTCTTTTAAGTATAATTTCCTACTTCATTATTAACAGTAATAAAGTAAAATTTCGAAATAAGCTAAATATAGAGTGAGGCTTCGTGACATGTGTGTATTATTTAGAGCTCAAGGTCTTAAGACAAATTCTGAAAATGACACATCAAATTACTTCACTTCCAACTGATCAAGTAAGATGAATAATTGAAGAAAAAACAAAGAGTAGTTTCCCGTATTTATATAAATGATTTCGAGATTTTGAGGTTCTGCTCTTACTATGTATTGTTGCGCGTAGCGGAAATTTCGGCAGCACTTCGGCAGCACAACAAGAGAGTCAGATCGCAATAAGAATTTCCGTCTCACCAAGGAGACAAGAATCTGAAGCGGATATCTCAACCAAGTGAGATATCGGCTCTTCCTCTCATCAGTTCTAGGACTGACCTGTCGAGGGATCCTAAAAGCTATTACAAATCACACAAAAGCAGTACAACCAATTTTACGTGGTTCGGCAAATTGCCTACGTCCACGGGGCAAGGAGGGGGGGTGGATCTACTAATAGAGGGAGAGAATACAAATAGGGTTTACACAAGAATCTCACAAATAAAACCCTCACACAAACTCTCAAATCCCTCACAAAGCTCTCTCAAAAGGATGCACAAAACCTTAACAAAAGCCTTATCAAAATTCCACTTTGGCCTCTGCATCCGTACCCTGTAGCCACCAAGAAAGAAAACAACTTTCTGCTTTATTTCTCTGTAGCCGCAAAAAATTAACACCTCGTTCACACACAAAAAAACCTAATAAACTATTGCTTATATAGGGAGCAGAGAGAAAACGCGTGAACGACTCAAAATCCGCTGGCCTTGTGTTATTCGTGGGCCTGGGCCTTATCAGGTCCGGTTCACAATTCTCCACCTCGGTAAAGTTTCTTCCAAAACTGAGCCGACACCAAAGCATCCAAATGTCACAACTTGTTGTGTCCAGTACGAACTCAATCCGCAACAAGTCGAGAACCCGAACGAGAGTCCAAACAATCTCAACCCCATCAACTAATCCAAACCGGCTGCATCTGAAAGACTGCCTACGTATCCTCTTGCCCAAGGAATCAAGCCGAACGTAGTTCATCCAAATGGCCGCCAACGGCCTCAACAATCACGAATGTGCAACAAGTTTCGACAATGATCAAACTTGTTGCTCGGAACCACCTTAGTGAGCATATCCGCCGGATTATCCTTCGTGTGGACTTTCATAATTTCCACATCGCCATCTTCAAGAACATCTCGAACGAAGTGATAACGAACGTCAATGTGCTTCGTCCTCGCATGAAAAACCTGATTCTTCGCCAAATAGATAGCACTCATGCTATCACAATGAATAGTGACGGACCTCTGCGATATACCAAGTTCCTCCAAAAGTCCTCGAAGCCAAATAGCCTCCTTCACAGCCTCCGTAACTGCCATATACTCTGCCTCCGTCGTAGACAAAGCCACCGTCGACTGTAAGGTGCTTCTCCAACACACCGGCGCACGGGTCAAAGTAAACACATACCCCGTAGTAGACCGGCGCTTATCCAAATCCCCGGCATAATCCGAATCAACATAGCCAATGCATAGCTGCCCACCTGTAGTGTCCCGCTCATAAACTAAACCAACATTGAGCGTACCTCAAATGTACCTCAAAATCCATCTTATGGCGTCCCAATGACCCACTCCTGGATCATGCATGTATCTCGAAACCATGCTTACCGCCTGTGACAAATCTGGTCTCGTACATACCATTGCGTACATCAAGCTCCCAACCGCGCTCGCATATGGAGTCTTCGACATCAACTCACGATCTTCAACTGACTTCGGTGAAAGACCAGCTGAAAGCTTCAAATGGGCTCCCAAAGGTACACCAACTGGCTTCGTATCCATGCTAACATGGAATCGCTGTAGAACTTTCTTCAAATAAGCCACCTGTGTCAAACAAATTCTGCCCTTCTTCTTGTCTCTGCCGATCTCCATCCCTAGAATGCGCTTCGCCTCACCCAAGTCTTTCATCTCAAACTCATTTGATAGTTGAACTTTCAACTCATCTATAGCCGACCTGGAAATAGAGGCAACCAACATGTCATCGACATAGAGCAACAAATAAATATACGCACCTCCTTTCAACTTGCGAAAATATACGCAAGGATCAAACTGGCTCCGAGTGTACGAATGACCAATCATAAAACCATCAAATCGCCTATACCACTGTCGAGGAGACTGCTTCAAACCGTATAGCGATTTCTTCAGTTTGCAAACCAACTTATCTTTCCCTGCAGCTCGGAATCCCAATGGCTGAGTCATATATATTTCTTCATCAAGATCACCATGAAGAAATGCCGTCTTCACA